AGGGTCTCTATGTGGGATAGATCCTTCTTCTAAATGAATCCTATGAGAACAAATCAACGGGCTTATACCTTTAATGTCAGCTATAGTCCAACCTAGTGTAGATTTATGTTCTTTTAATATATGTATCCATTTCTCCTCTTGCTCAGCACTAAGTTTAGAAGATATTATAACAGGAAAGGTATCACCTGGACCCAAGAATGCATGTTTCAACCCTTCAGGAAGTGGGGATAACTCGACTTTTGGTGTCTCTAGTGAAGATGGCTTTGGTTGTTCCCTTTCACATGGTAACTCCTCAAAGCGTGGTTGCCAAAACTTCTTTTGCCTATCCTGATCAACATTAGAAATAAAAGAAACATTAGAAATACCATTATCAGGATAAAGCAAAAACTCAGAGTTTAAATCAAAATTATAAAGGAAGTGTTCTAAAGATTTAGAATTTCCCCTTTCTTGTACTGCCTCAACAAGTGAATCTATCATGTAGGAATGATAACATTCATCATCTTCTTGTGGTTGCTTTCCAACATGAAAAATATTCACCTCAAGAGTCATATTCCCAAATGAAAGTTTCATCAAACCATTCCTACAATTAATAAGAGCATTAGCAGTAGCAAGAAATGGCCTTCCTAAAATAAGTGGAATTTTTGACTCACTATTAACTTCAGACTAAGTGTCTAACACAAGAAAATCAACAGGATAATAAAATTTATCAATCTAAAGCAAAACATCTTCCACTATCCCTTTTAGTTTCCTACAAGAACGATCAGCCAACTGTAATACCACAGATGTGGGTTTTATCTCTCCAAGACCTAGTTGCAAATAAACTGAATAAGGCATTAAATTCACACTTGCTCCTAAATCCAAAAGAGCTTGACCAAACTCTTGTGACCCAATTTGGCAAGCAATTGTTAGGCACCCTGGATCTTTGTACTTTGGCAGTGTTTTTTGATCAATTACCACACTTACCTGCTCTGTCAAGAATGTACTTTTCTTGACATGGTGTTTCCTTTTTATGGTGCATAGATCCTTGATCACCTTGGCATAAGTTGGTACCTGTTTAATCACATGCAACAAAGGTAGATTAATCTTAACTTGTTTCAAATTTTCTAAAATCTCACTTTGTTTGTCTGAAATCTTTCTAGATTTAAGAGCTTGAGGGAAAGGAACTCGAATTGGGACCTCCTTCTTAGGTTCTTCCAACAGGTTGTCTTCACGGCTACTTGGAGTAGCATCCTTCAATTTAGGTGATTTTTGCAATGGCTCTATAACCTTACCAATATGAGTAGTGATTGCATTGACCCCTTGAATGTTCTCCGAATTAGAGGTAGATTCTTGCACCAAATGTAAATTTTTAGGATTAGCTTGAGGTTGAGATGGAATCTTACCTCGTTCTTGGATAGTAAGAGCATTGGTCAACTTAGTTAGTTGACTCTTGATATCCTTGTTTTCTTCAACCACCTGTGTAAGAATAGAATCAAACTTTTGGTTAGTCTTAGTCTGTGCCTTCATAAATGCCTTAAGTGTTTCCTCTAAAGGATTCCTATTTGGTCGTGCATTGTATTGAGGTGTAGGGTAAGACCTAGGTGGTTGAGCTTCACTATTCCAATTGCTGTTGGATGATGTGGGATGGTTTTGATTAGCCTTCCAACTAAAATTGGGATGGTTCCTCCAACTAGGATTGTATGTCTCTGAATAGGGTGAAAAAGGTTCCCTACCCATTCCTAATGCATTACATTGTTCTTCATAAACCCTTCTTATCTCACCATAGGTTAGGCAATCTTGAGCTAAATGATCCAATCCCCCACAAACAAAACATGGAGCCTGAGCTTCTACCCTTGCAACTGTGTGGGTGACTCTATTATTTTTCATTTTTAACGTCTCAAGTTCC